CCCCATCAGGGACCATGGTCCCTCGTCGGGCAAGTCCTGGTGCCACCCCTGATATTAATGTTATGTGCTACTCACTTACCTATTCTGAAACTGTTGTGCACCCCGTTTGAAAAATTCTGGATCCGCCCCTGCTACTTACCTCGACAACTGCGGCTGTTACTGGTTTTCGTCCATGTTTCATTTCACTCACGTCATGTTCAACGAAACAAGCTGGTACACTAGTCACTTCCACAGCATTTTCAGCACAATTCATTTGTAGGCCCATCCTCTTAAACCTATCACGGAAGCCAACAATCAGTCTCATCTCTTTGGAGGCGAATGTTATGGTTATTGGTGGATGCAACTTTGATGATTTAATTCTAACCTTGGAAAATCCCTCATTTAATCCATCTTCACTATTGTCAATAGCATCTGATAAATTAAAACAATATTAATGATAAAAAGAAATTTTAAACAATAAGGTAAATTACTGATCCTTGTGAATTCCTAATCCAGCTATCGATGATGTTTCAATATACTGTACAGTACTTCGCCTATTGGTTTAACAATTTAAATTGGGATTTGTATAAGAAATGGCTAAGCTTCATTAATCCTATTTCTATTTTCAAATTAATCACAAATAAATCCTATGAACATTTGAGTGACATTGCTAGTATTCGATAGAACAAAGGCATGCAACACTTCTTTTTTGGCCATTTCTGATATATTTGTTAACCATGTGCAGTACAAGGATCTCAGGTTGGCAAGGCTAGATAGGTCTTGTCTAACCTAGACCTACCAGAAAGTTCACTAACCTAGGGCTCAGGCTTCACAAAAAGGGTCTTTTAGCTCAGAACATAGACCTAGCAAGCATTTTGATCTATTTCATAGTTGGTCCCAGCTATTATTAGTTATTGGTGGGACTGGTGTAGCCTTTTACTGAATGACCTATGGGATACCATACCATACCATTAACTTACCAGATGTCAATTTTTCAAGTCGAACTCTCTCATGGGCAGCATGCTGGTCTAGTAAGACTAATAAGTTAGGCTCAACTTCAACTTTGCCCTCCGAGTGCAGCATACAAGCTATAAATTTACCATCAAGCTGTCCAAGTACCTAGAAAAGAAATATTAAATGAATTGAATTTAATTGATGTCAAATCGGGGGAAGGTGTGGTTGAGGTCCTTAACACTGTAGCAACCACATAAGAAATTACTGTAATTCTATTTAGGCTCATCACTACCACAGAGAGTTTAAATGCAACAAAAATTAAGTTACAAACTCTCTACCTCCTTCCCTACAAAGATGATTTCAAAAAAACTTGGCAAGATAAATCATCAATTAATTTCATGTCTTCATTGGTAATAATACTTCTGGGTAAACAATGTCTAATAATTTAGTACATACTCTATTCATGTTCAATTATTGAGAAATCTCTGTACCTTTGCATTGGCCAGCATTTCTTTTGTGAAATTATATTGATGCATTGCACTATGAACACGCACGTCAGCCTTTCTTGCAT